ATATGTATTGTATAGGCTAACAACTACACTGTGTGTGCCCTTATCGTTAAAGAATTTAGAGGAATTTGATATGCCGTCATTTCACGATACCATGGCAGGCGCACTCACAGTCATGAGGTTGTTTTTATTTTAATGGGGGGTTTTGGCATGCTGTACGCCCAGCTTGGATAAGAATATCAATGGTATGGAGAAGGCTCATTTACAAGGGAGGATGGAGGCTGAAGTGTGTTCTGATGTCATCTTGAGATCAAGAGGAAATTACATTATTATGTTTGTGGAGATCCAGCCTTATGTCCATACCAAAGATGCTCTGTTTGAAAATCATAAGAGATTATTACACGTAGAAACACTCCTTGTAAACATTAACAACAACGGGGAGCGGGCAGCCTCAGAGATATAAAAGAGATCTATTGCATTCGCAGAAAAGGATGAAGTTAGATAAATCTTATGTACAGTATGTATATTTGTGAAATGGTCACTGTCCTATGTTTTATAGGTAACCATGGACCTGAAAGCATGTTGAAACCATCACTGCTAGCCAGGTAGGCTAAGTGATACAGTAGGATGCTTGCTTGAGTTTTTTGGCTATTGTCAATGTTGTATAAGTCATGTTTAAGCTCCATCTGTAAATAGGATAGATACATAGAGATTTGATGTATCAAGACACTATATTATGGCCATTATTCTAGCTAAGTATGTGCCATTTAAAAGAGGAAAAAAAAGCAGATTTATAGTCAGCAAGATACTGTATGTTGTGTGTTACATTTCTGGCTCAGTGTGTCGTAAAAGTAATGCTGTCTGGTCTCGCTTGCTGATTATGTTTTTTTTTTCATTAGTTTTATTTTTTTGTTCTATTCAAAGGTCTCTGCAGTTGCAGAAGTGATGTGTGCTTTGAGCAGGATCAATAGCATGGTATATTGAGAAAAAAAAAGTTGTGATACTGTTAGCTGGTTGCAAACATCTCTGTGACAGACATTGTGCTCAAAGTCTTTCAGCAGACACTGGAAAAAAAAAACGAAAAAAAGCGATTACTCACGTTTCAACAAACTTTGGAGGTTCACGTTATTGCACTAAATTTTTATGACACATGGCTTTGCCACATCTTTATGGACAAATGTAATGATGGATGCCCGCAAAAAAAAGAGAAAAAATGAAAAAAAAACAACAATTTTTTTACAACAAAACGAGTAAGGAAGTTTCAGTGAATTGTCAGAAAATGACTAATTGTCTTGTAGCAAAATGTGCATTAATCTCAGTGAGATACACATTTCTTACTCATTCTCTTACATGAGAATATAAAGCATTGAGGGGAAAAAAAAAGTTAAATAACCTTTTAAAACCTACATGCTCATTATGTTGATAAATGATTGTACGCACGCATGTGTGATTACTTCTGTTGTATGTTGTATTCTTGGTAACCACTGTCTTCTGTGATTTGGGCAGGTTCTGTTAACCAGACTGGCAGTGCTAGTTTCATGAGTTACATCATTTTCGTTGTGTGCTGTTTACTAAGTTAATGTTCTTCTGTATGTTATGTTGACTGTTTTCTGACAACTTTTACATATTTTTTGTTTGTTTGTTTGTATTTTGGTTTTTGCAAAATGCATTTTGTGAAGAGTATTTTACTTTAACATTTTCTCTTCATTTTTTTCTTTAACAATATGGCACTGATATTTGAATTTGAATGAAGGAAATGCACCTCTTTATGAGTTCTGAAGCTCCATCAAGCAGTGATTCTTTACCTTTGACTGACCCAGACCCAACTCTGTCAGACTATCTTGTCCATTTCTACCAGTAGAGAAAAAAAAACCCTCCTCTGTGGTGTTGTCTGGTGTTTCGCTTAATGTACAGTAGCTTGTTAATATTGCAATCGCGTTGTTTCTTTTTTCAATGGAAAGTACTCACTGGTGAGATTTTTAAAGTGGTTTTAAAAGCCAATAAACTTTTTTAAAGAAGGTTTTTTTTGTGCACGCGTTTTAAGTGGTCATTCTTCTTCTTTGGCTTCAGTTCACGTTCAGTCATTTTATTGTTCCTACTGGGAAACTTGGTTTACAGGCATTCTCTCAAGAAATCCTCCACAAGGAAAAACAAAATCGATACACAACCACAAAACATAAATCCACATCCAAAATTCACTAAATGTAAATAATAATAAATAATCCTCCAGTAAAAATAAACTAAAATTTCTTAGGGAAAAAACCCCACTGGTGTAAGGTAAGGTACAGATATCACACAAAATAACTTGCTATTTTTTTAAACAAGAAATTAAATGTTACATTTGCATCTCAGTTTTAATTTGTATCATTTTTGCTACATGAACAAAGGTGTATTAGGACCAAAACATCCTAACTCGTGCTGTTCTATACTTAGAGCATGAAGGAAGCAGTTTAAATTCTCTGTGCAGGGTTGGGTCTGGCTTTCCACAACTGGGGGGAC